AGCGGGTGCGAAAGGCGCATTGTTCCCTAATTAAACAATTAACCGGGAAGAGAATGGAGAGACCTCCTCCACCCTGGCTCCCGAAGCCCGTTGAAACGGGGAAAGTGACTGGGACCGAAATCCCTTTTTTCCTTTTGCCTCCCCAATCTCAGCGGAGGTTGCAATGAAAGAATATATTGGTGCTTGTTCCAAACTTCCCCCGCCTGTGCCAATTCACAGGCAGTCTTGCATCGGCAGCCTCCCAAGCCAAGCTTCTCCACCCTAGTTTTACGCATCTCCAGCCACTTTTTTTTCTTTTTCCCCCTTTTTTTTTTTTTTAAGATTAGGCTCTGCATTTGCTGTCCAAACCTCCCAGAGATGAGGTCATAAGCAGAACTCTAAACCACCCTTTTACAAGGGACTTTCACCAATTAGTAAAGGGTCTGCAGTGCTCCTCGGGCAGCTCCTTTCCCAAAATGTACCTATCTTGGTATGTGGCAGATGCTTAAGGCACCCTTCACCAGGCATAAAATGCTGGCAAGAGCAGTGCCTCTGGCATGCTCTCTCTCAGAGGAGCGTGTGCCACAATCCCCCCTCCTCCAGGAAGGTGTAAATCTGGAGCCAGAAAAGAAAAGCCTGGAGAAATAGGTGTGTCTGATTGCACCCCTCTGGGCACGTTTTTGGCAGCCCCAGGTACAACCGTTAGGAAGAGGCAGGAGGAGTTTGCCTTCAGTGCCTCTCGCTGTTATTGTTCCAGCTACTCTGTCCCCAGAGTTATGCTGACAGCGGGTTTGAGACAAGCCCAAAACCCTCATTTTCAAAGACAGCCCTCAGTGCCAAGTTGGAGGAGCGGGAGGTGGAAGAGATGACAGCCAAGCAGGGGGAAATGGAGACCTGGCGGCTTAAACCAGATCAGGTTTGTGTGAGCTGTGGCCTGGGTGTGGATGGAGCTGGACCGCTGGGTGAAATCCTTATCTCAGCTTCACAGAGCTTGTTGGTCTTTCCTCCTTAACTAGGGTAAATCCACAATTGCTTACTAGCAAGGGCGTTGAAGAGAGGCTGATCCCCTTCTCCCATGTGAAAGTAGAGAGTGTGCAGCAGCCTCCCTGCCACTGCCACCCCCCGGGCACCAGTCCCTCCAGCTCCTCCTGCATGAGTCGGTCCCTACATGGCACATGTGGCTCCTGGGCAATGCCCCGTCCCAACAGACTGGACCTGCTACACGTTGGGTTGCGGGTTTCTTAATCCTTAAACCTTGTGCAGTGGAACAGTTGACAGAAATGCAAGTCTGTGCTTTCAAACAGGCACTATAAAGAGTTGCAGGCATATTTTTGAGGCTTTTTGATGCAAATTCACACAAAGGCATTGCAGTTCATATTAAGTCACGGGAAGGGGGTTGTCAGAGTTAACTCCGCTCTTTGCTCGCCTGGCCTTCCCTGCCTTGCCATGTGTAGATGGCAACCCTCACTGCCAAGGCTGTGCACTCCTCTGCATGATGTTGTGATGAAAGGAGAAAACTAACATTGAATTTCTCCAACATCGGTTCAGACAAGCCTCTTCAGCCCTCCCAGGCATAAAGGGGTTGTGTGAGATGCACGGTTAGGGCACTGTTCCCTCTCCCAGTACAAACTCAGGCCCCTCTCGAGCTGCAGGCAAAACCCTTTGAGGACACGTGCATAAGGTGGGAATTGCTCTGGACAAATCCCCTCCTCTGCACCAGTCCCAATGGCCCATTCCCTTTTTTTGGATGGAGTGGTGGGACTCCTGCCACAATCCCAGGCCTCAGGAAAGGAGGGCAGGACATACCCTGTGGCATGGGGTATCTCCCCGTCTCCAGACCACCCTCCAGGACAAATGGGGAACTCGTAAATGATCAGGCATCATGGTCAAACTGAAGGTAGCTCAGATGTCCTCTCTGGCCTCCACCACCTGCCCCGTCTTTCCAGCTTCATCTGTTCTTACTCCGCTCCCTGCCTTGGCTCTCCATCACCTCTTGACTCTCAGCCCCTGGAGATTGAACAACTGCTCCTGTCAAAGGAAGGGAAGAGGAGTCGGTGACTCTGCTGTCCTTACTGTGTGGAGATCCCTGCCCTCCTGCAGAGCCAGGCTATGAACATCTTCTCGCAGCTGCGGCTGCCCCGGGGAGCAAGTGGGACAACCCCAAGGGGGGAAGTTGCAGCTGGCCGTGCCCCCCGGGGGACCCGCCGGGC